GGCCAGTTCTCACTGTTCTGAGCTGGTAATTTAGCCTCGTTCAGTGGGAGCATTCAAGTCCTGGTTGGGGCAGAAAGCCTGAAGTGCTGTAAAATGAAATTTTACCTCTTGGGGAGGCTTGCCGTGGGCTCCAGGAGGGCACCTTTCCCAGCCTGACACTGACCTCCCCTGTCTTTTGGCTGCTCCCGCTGTGAAAAGGGCGTCACTGCCCTGCAGGGTCAGGTAGGGGCTTGGCCTTCTCCATGCTTCTGAATCCGAGTGCAATGGGTGAGCTCCGATGCAGATGCTGTGTTTGTGCTGTTTAATCCCAGTGTGCCATAATGGCAGCACGGGCTCTTCCATGCTGCAAGCAGCAAAACTCCCTGTGAGGAGGTGTTGAACATTAGAGTTTGGCTATTAAAACTCAGCTATCAACCCCTAAACCCCAGCAGCCCTCTGCCAGTCCTGCATGGTGAGCCCATGAAACATCACCCTCGTGGCTCTGTGCTGTTCCCCTCCAATACACCCCGACTCCGCTCAGCCCTGCCAGACCCTTCCCCAGCCCCTCACCTCTCGCTCTTGCCTCTCAACAGACTGCTGCCAGCCATGCAGTGCCTGCACGGGCTGCACACGGAGGTGCATCTGCGTCTCTGCTGTGGCACTGCTTGTCCTCGCTGCCGCCGGGGCCTTGGCGGTGGTGCTGGGACTCCTGCCACGCGGGCCAGGTTGGTATCCAAGAGTCAGATTTTTTTTGGCAAGGGAGGGAGAAAATGGTGTTGCATGAGAAGAGCTTTTGTGTCCGTCACCGTGGTTGAAGTGGTGCTTCCCGGTGCAGACTGGGAGGAAGGAAAGGGACCCGCAGGGTGGTGTGGGGCTGTGCCAGCCTTGCACAGCCCGAGTCCCCAGCAGCTGTTCCTTGGCTCTGGTGTCCTGCTCTACGGGGCTGTGGTAACTCTGGGTGGCACAGTCATGCTTCAGACTACCGGTACAGTTTTTAGACTCTGCCATGAACCTACCAGAGATTAATCCTTGCACCTGGTTATTTCCAGAACAACAAATGAATTTCAGAGATCCCCCTTTCTTCCCCTTGATCTGCTCCTCATACCAATGAAAATGTTGAGAAGGAAAAAAAAAGTTACTTCTAAATTACTTCTTGCTTCCCTTCAGTGAATCGCTTCTGTGCAGCCTCCAATAACCGGACAGGCTTCTTGTGCGATGACAGAGTGACCTGTGTCCCAGCCAGCCAGGTCTGTGACAGAGTCAGCAACTGCAGGAATGGAGAGGATGAGCAGGAGAAACTCTGTGGTGAGTGGTTTTGTTGTGATGATCCTCCCTGTGCTGGTCTTCCTGTTGTGAGACAACAGCCGGTGTCCCTTTAATCCTGCTCTGTGCTTCTGGCCGTGTACGTGAACAGATAAGCCTGGTAGATCCTTTGTAGGGCAGATGCTGAGAGATGGCACTGCCCAAAATCTGTTGGGAGTGCCAGGAATCAAAGGCTTCAAGCTCTTCTGATCTTCCTAGGATTTTTTAAACCATGATGCAGTTTTCCTCCATTGGTTAAGCTGTTATGCCTACATCATTAATTTATTGTCCAGTTACCCTGGGAAAAAAATCATTAAAGCAGAAGCCTGGGGCACCTGGACTCTGCTTCTGGCTCAGCCACCAGCATCCCTTTCCCTCTCCAACCACAGCTTCCCCCCCTGCGGCATCACTCATGCCCTGACATCACACAGGGAAGGACTGACCGACCCCCCATGACAGCAGCTTTTGGTAGCCGCCATCCCCATTTTAGCCAGTGCATCTGTGCCCAGTGGAGTTCAGCATGTGTCCTGTGTGTCTGCCCTTGCAGGTGACTTGCCCAGCAGCCTTCCAGGATACCTGATTTTCCGTTGCAGTAACCCCACGTACTGGGTCTATGCCGATCAGAGGTGTAACGGGATGAACGACTGTGGAGACTGCTCTGATGAGATGGGAAGCTGTGAGTGTCTTTTCTGGCTACTGTTGGGCTAAATGTCTTTTCTACTGATGGATTGAAATAGGTTGTACAGGTGTGGTGCTCACTGATGCTCCTGGAAATGCCCGGAGGCTGGCATCCACCACTAACACACAAAATAGCTGGGATAAGACGCGAGTACGAACCATGTGGGCTCCGTCCCATCAGCTGCCAAAGGCTCTGTGTCAAAGCCTGGTGGCAACCGAGTGGGGAAAGGCTCCATGCTTTGCTCCCAGCCCCAAAAACCGCAGAACTCGAGTGGTGCATTCACAAATGCAGGGTCATCACCGGTGGCTTTTCAATAGCTGCCAGGGTGAAAGGGTAGCTACCCGTGTGAGAAAGGAGGGAAGGGGTCAGTGCAGCAGAAGCATTTCTGTTCCCTGTTTTCCATCCCTCCCAGTGGCTGCCTGCCTGCCATGCGGGTCGGAGTGGTGGAGCTGCAGCCCTGTGCTCTACGAGTTCTGCTCCTGTGTCCCCAGGAGGCTGTGCCGGGACGGCGTCCAGCACTGCCTCAGCTGGTCCGATGAGTATATCTGCAGACCATGAAGTCTTGGCACCCAGCAGCACTTGGAGACGGCAGGGTGCTTCCTGCATTGTCACCTTTAAGCCTCGGTGTCCTCCTGCTCTGCTACCCTCTTGGGAGGCTCCAACCCAAGCAATTCCTCAGCAGCAGCGCACTGACCGGCGTGCAGTGACACTGAACAGGGACAAAGTGCATATGGCAGCCCACGCTGCAGGCTAGACACTGGCTGTAGGACACCTTCAAGGGTTCTCCTGTCATGTGAGGGTGAGTCCTTTCTACATGGACAGAGTACCATTGACTCAATGGGTGGTGTGCAGGCTGCTGGAGACTGTTTACCAGCTGCTGCCAACGCAGATACCATGTCTGGCCAACTGTGGGTGAGGGATTTCTCCTGTAAGGACATGCTGGTGCCTTTAGAGGCAGCCAGATGAAGGTACATGCAGGACTACCCTAAAAAGCAGGAGCTGAGTGAGGTGAGCCTTTCTAGCCCTTGGGTTAGCATTTCCCTCTGACATGTCTTCACATTCCTGATCCTCGCGGGCGGGAGAAGCTGCTTGTATTTGTGTTCAGAGCACGTCTGCAGATGGTTTCAGTAGTGGCTTTGAAGGCTCTACATTGATGCTCCTAGGGCTGCTTCCTTGGGAATGCTGTGCTGAGGATGACACCGTGGGGAGCTGCTGCACAGGCCACCTGCACTCTTCTCAAACCACGAAGGCCAACACGGAGAGTGTAATGTCAAGGAAAACTGGAAAGGTTTCAGGGTTTGTAGGGATGAATCACCATGTCCCTGGGACGGCATAGCTGTCCTTGCAAGCCAGGGCAGGGAACCAGCACGTGTATAAAATCTACTTCTCTCAGCACTGTGCAGTTTTGGAGCAGCAGCTTAGGAGGTTGAGAACAGCCGTGGGGCTGGGATGTGTTTGCACTGAAGTTGGTGAAGGAAGGAGAGAAAAAAAAAACGAGAAGAAAACTAAGTGCTGCTCCAGGGGAGGTGTGGGATGACACGGGATCTGTTCGTCGCTTATTTCGTTCTTCTGCCAGCAAAACAGGATCAGGCAGCCAAACCTTCAATCCTCAGCATATAGATATATACTATGTGCCACTGAAATTTAAGAAAGATGTGGTCTTTCTCTGCTCCTTCAAAAATCTCATGTGTCTAAAACATCATTTCTGAGGAAAACCCACATTTACAGTGAGTGCACTTACTTTTCTAGGCCCAAAATAAATATCAGGTGGTCTTTTTCCCACTACCATCCCAGGTCATAGATCTTTAAAAATAAAACCCCGTTCACTCATTTCCTCTCTGTCCTGCGATCTGCAACTCTGCATGTCACCATGACTTGTATCAGCGGTGAACGCTTCTTCTAATTTGTCGCTGGGATACAGCTGCAGATCTGAGAGATCTTTTTAAAAATAGCTTGACAGTGTTCTGACTCATACTTTACCTGGAATGCGATGGCAAAACTCTGCATAATGGAACTGGTGCTACGGGAAACTTTTAAAGCTACGTTTCTCCATGTCTGGCTGGGGTGGATGGTTTGCTTTCTCTGTGCCTGTAAAACACGACTGCAGTGCAATCAGTGCTGCATCTCGAAAGAGAGGTTAGGAGTTTTCTAGGTAAACATTTCTCACTTGCAAGCTTCCAGCCTCAATCGAAGCCTGAAATTCAGATGCACATTTTTACTGGAGAGTCACAGACATGTAACGCTTCAGCAATGCTGAGTTGAGGTTGGTAAATAAAGCCTGGCTTATCGTAGTTGCTGTTGTTCCCCCAAAGTATGTTCTGGGGCAATCGATGGGGAAGTCTTGTAGTATTTCTTAAGAGGAGCTCAAGGAGGGGTGATTCAGAGACAGCACTACCAGGTCAGCTTCTCCTTCCCAAGGAAGAAGAGCTTCTTTCCGATTCACATTGGGTTCAGCCGCAGGCTGTTTGCCTATTCCTTGGCTTTGAAGCGGGAGGTTGCGCAACAAGCTCTCTGCATTGGGAGGGGGCAGGTGGGCTAAGACTGCTATATGCTTCTGCAGGGCTGTGGTCAAAGAAAGGTGGGAGAGGAGGGAACAAAGAATTTCATCCCTTGTGATGGGAGCTCTGTATGGATAACAGAACAACTGGGTTAGTAAGGATTGAACTTATCAGCTATTAAAATACAGAAACCCTCATGCTCAGCATAGGGCCCAGCTGAAATGATTGGTAAAAAAGTTAATTTGCTCTGAGTCAAAGATATTGGGACAGTCATGACTTTCTGGAGCCTCCCATGTTTACTGTGGTTGGGAAGAGGATGCTGGTTAGGCTGACCTGTATGGCAACTGCTGTATCCTCCCCATCCAATATTTGTTGACCATTGCCACAGCTCACCACTGCCACATTTTAAGGTGCTCCCGAGGGTGAAGAGAAGAGGGTCAGGGCATGCAACATGTGAGCGTGGGGAGTCAGATGTTTGTGCTTACTGTGTGGAAGGCTGCTTTTCCACCGCAGCAGAAGTCAAGTGGTGGCTTGCCTTGGCTGGATGGGGATGATGCTGGGATCTCGTAATTCTTACTTTATTGTGAGATGTGATAAAGAAGGCAAATGCCTGGCTTAGAGCAGGAAAAGATTATTGTGCCACATTCTCTCTCATCATCCAGCAGGAAGATAAGGAAACAGAGGCAGGCTTAGGCCACATAGAGGATGTCACTGGCTGCAAAGAGGAAACCAAACAGTCTTTCTCCATTTCTGCCATCTCTCAGCTTTATAACTGAGCTGAACCACAAAGAAATGGGGTCAGGAATGTGATCTCTGCATCTAAGATAGCCAGTAAAGGTGTAACTGGTGTCGGAGGAGCTGACCCACCCAGTACCTGCAGGGTAGAGCCCCAGGGTTCCTCTCTGGCTGATGTCCCTGTATCAGTGAGTGCTCCTGGGAGGCCAAAGCTGTGATTAATGGCCTCAGATTAGGAGAGAGGAACCAGGGACTCATCCTGCTCTGGATTTACACCTGTGAAGATGCTAGCCAAGGGAGACAAGGGAAGTGCCAATCCATGGGCAGCAAGACACAGAAGCCAGCCTGGAAACAGCCAGGGATGCAGTGGGCAGTTTAAGCAGGCGCTTGGCTGAGCCTATCTGTTTCAGGGTGAGTCTCCTCCTGTAATTTTCTTACTTACTGCCTTGTTCCTGGTCAGCAGAGGCCATGTGCCTCACGGAGAGCAATAAACAGAGATTAGTGGGTTGAGGACACAGTGGCAAGTGCGTCTAAGTCTTTCTAGGATAAAATTTGCTCAGCGGTGTGTTTGAAAGAGGAAGTCTGCTGGTCAGCAAGAAACCTAAAAGGAATAATTGTACCAGGGATGGAAAACGTAAGAAACACAGTGCTCTAAAACATCTCTTCTGAAAAGGAAGGATGTACTGTATTATTTTCCCAACAAGCCTGTGACCTGGGCAGACCGTTCATGTCAAATCACGATGTGCCTATTTTCTGGCTCAAGGCATCAGCCCCAGCTGCTTTACTGATGTGAAATGGAGTATACGATTGTCCGAGACGCGCATCTCTCCACGGTCAGATTAGCGGATCTCCACAGCGGCGTAAGGGCTAGTAAAAGTAATCCGAGGTGGCTGTTGAACCAGAAGCCAGCTGCAGGAGGATTATATGTGAGCACCACAGTCGTCATCTTCCCCGTTGAGACGCTGTTTTGCCAAGTCACCATTTGTGCCATTATTTGTCTCAGCAGAGGGCTGATGTAGTCGGCAGTGGAAGCTATTAATAGCCGTGAGTTTCTGGGAAAAAAATGTAGGGCTTGAATGCAAGTCTGCTTGTTTTGTTTGCATGTAGTCCTTTTTTTTTTTTTTTGAGGAAAATTCAGTGATAAAAGAACAAAGAGAGAAAGGGGCTTAGCTCTTTATGTGTTTTTGAAGTGAAGGCCCTTTTCTTGGCCTCTTCATGATTTCCAAGGATGTGTTGCTTTTCTAGTTGCTCAATTATAGTGAACAATAGTGTAAAAGGAAGATATCCTCTAAATAAGCACTAGCAGAGGAAACCTGTAGTGAATTCCTGGCCTTACAGGCCTAAGAGCACAGTGATGGTTGCAGTGCCCTATTCATGGGCACTGTGCACCTCAGCTAGTTTTGACAGAAACACTCAGGGCATGAATTCAGTGATAAACACACCTGCAGCATTACAGCTGTACTGCTGGCTTCAGACAGACCAACACAGAAGGAGTCTGAGTATCTAGCTTTTTTTACAGCAAATCTGTATAATTCATATTTGATTTACAAACTTCCCTGAATGTTTTTAGTTGGGGAAATACGGTTAGTATATTGCAGGCATGCCTGCGCACCAAGAATGGGTTTTTAAACCACAGAATGCTCTCAAATGCAGTGAATTTGCTTATAAGGGCGAAAATATTACAACTGCAGAGTCTAATCTCGACAGTAACCCAGTTTCAGCTTTCATTTCCAGGGCTAAAATGAGGGGGGGGACACGACACACACACATTTCTGTTCTACTTCAGATTTCTGGAGTAACTGTTGCCAAGGGGTTAGTTTCTCTGCCTCCCTCCCCTGGGGCCTGTGCTGATCCTCTTTGCTTCCTACCTTTGTCAAGAGCTCTATCAGCACAGCCCGGTGCTTACAGGCTGAGGTTTGTGTTCTACCAGCACTATGAATGTCCCAGGGCACCTGACAAGTGCAGTGCAACTTCATTTCCGATGAGCTGCAGTCATTAGTCTTCTGCCCCTGAGGAGGCAAGAGGGGAGGGAGGGATAGGACCAGCTAGTTTTGTGAATGATATCTACGTCAGAAGAATTAGTTAAGGATGACAACAAAAACTTTATTTGAAAAAATTATTATGTATTGAAAATATACAGTAGTATCATCAACCTTCTCCTCGACTCTATCCCCCCCGCATAGGTTAACCCACAAGCATATCACAGCAAACCAGATTTAACAATACTGGTCTCCTTTGTTACTCCCTCTCAATATGTCTAAATTCTGTCATCAGCAAGAAAACAACAAACAAAAGACCCACTTTTTTCTGACTCAATAGGTATTT